AGAGAGAGAAAAAAAAAAAAACAGCGTGGCAGAGCAGACTGAAAGGCACTTGCTCATTGTTACTACATACTCAGCCTCAGGAACCGATTTTGTCACTTCATGCCGGCATCATCTTGCTAGGAACTAGAGAGATCGGTCGCCGCACTCGGAGCTTCGGCGAAGCCAGTGCCGGCACAATTGGCACAAGTTCGACGTGGCTTCTCTCATCAAAACGGTGGGAGTCTCGTGCTAGCACAAGTCACATGAGGACTCGGATGCATGACCAGGTAGTCAGACCGCTGCACTATCAGTCACTGTCATGTAGTCTGGCGGCGAGCTCTCTGCACCACCCCCACCCCGAAGCTAGTACCTATAGTGGGCAATGAAGCCCACGTCACGAGAGCACATGCATGCGACTGCGCGCAGTCTCAAATTCATGTAGGAATCCGCTGCTCAGCCGTTCCACCGGATGTGAAACTGCAGGAGCCTGCCAGTGCAGAGCAGACTTCGAATTGAACCAAAAGCATCAACATCAAACCCACAGGACCTCCAACACGAACCCTAGAAGTTGAAAACCTTGCACCCTCGCATGAAGACTCCTACACCCGAAATGCTAGACCGCAAACTTCAAGACCCAAGCCCAACCACCGCAACTACCCGCAAACCTCAAGGGAAGGAAGGGCGGGGGGGTATGGCAGCAGCCGGAGGAAGGGAGTGTTTGGTGCTTGGAGCCTTTTTGTTAGAACCCTGGTAAGCTCCTGGAAGAGCCCGTATGGAAGCTCATAAGGAGAGGGCCCCTTAGGCCCTACAGGAGCTCTTAGAACCCTAAGATCCTAAACCCCAAAAACTTCGCAACCGGCCTCTGCGACTTTAAGAGCTCGGGCTTCTCCTTTCCGCAGCTTTCGCTGGTTTAGGCAGGGAAGGGCTTGGGCGCAAGTTCACAGTGTTTAGAGTTTTCGAATTCAGGGCTTCGGGGCTTTCGCGATTCAAGGCTGGTCTTCCAGTGTTTCAGTGCTTGACCCAGAGCCCGAAGTTAAGGCATCAGCTTCTCAGAGAGGTTGGGGCTTGCGGGGTGGAGGGCTTACGCACGGCTCCAGGCCCAGGGTGTATGGATTTCGGGACTGCGGAGTAAAGGTGCGTAGCCGCTGAGCCCATTTGAGAAGTCAAGGTGTCGATCGTCGGTCCCTTCTTGGGGTGGGGAGGGATCACAGCAACTCAAGTGGTTGTCAACTGCAAACACAAAACTCTTAAGACGGAAGGTGACTCGTGGTGGCTCTGGGGTCTAAGGGGGATGTTTACTCATCCATTAAACTTCGCTGCAGCTTCGGAGCCCCTCCCTTGCTGACACTCTGGAGCCCGTAATCCAACATTGGCAGCTCCCACTTTTCAACCCTGGCCTCTAAAACCGTAAATCCCAATTCACAGGAAACCTCCAAGCCCATACCCAAATGGAGGTTGCTCGTTGGTCCTGAAGCACCCGCAATCCACGTGAGAGGCATGTCACCTGGGCGTTGCACTGCCGGGGATAGGAAACTAGAGCTTAAGTTCTCCGGTGTAGGATGTGGCTAGCCTTCACAACTGCAGGATTCTGTTGCACCCATCTGCAAACAGACACATCCAGAATAAAGGTCTGAGGCCCTCCAAGGCCCCACATCCTGGCCCCAAGAACCGCCCTACATTTACAGCATGGCCTGGCCTTGTCCTCCAGCTGCTTGCGCTTCTCTAGCGTCCTCTGATCTTCCAAGAAGAAATGGTGCACATTTCCTGCCTGGATCGCGTCCTGCAGACCTGAGCTGATGGGGCATCCTTGCTGCAAGGTTTCCACGTTCAGGGGGAGGGTTGGGAACGAAATGACAGCGCCGTCATTCAACCTGAGTGGCTGTTCCAGATGCTGTCCTTGATCTTGCGGACCACAGGACGCAACAGCATGTGGTCCACCTCTCGGGGTAGCTGGTCGCAGAAGCGCTTGAAGGCCACCTGCGACGGAGTTCCGACAACGAACACATGTAATCTGCAAAGCTGTATGCCGCCACTGTAGGTGTCATGCATTGGGCGGGCACTTCACAGTTCAGCATTCCAACTCTGCCGAACCCTGATCCGAGTTCACTGGATCCTTGACAGCATCGTGCTTGCTTGCCCTGGCTGGTGCCTTGTGGTACGCGTGCGCCATGCAAAGGCTCCAAATTGCATCGTCATCCTTGCGAGCAGATATCACAGGATCAGTCTCTCACATGCAGTGCAGGATACAGGCGCGGCCTGCCCAGTTCAAACCCAGCCTCCTGGAACTAGATACTCAAGCCTTTATTTAGCTCGCAACAAGCTGTAGGAACAACAGCCGTGTGTCCTGCGATGGTTCGCTCACGTCAGCGCACCACTGCAGGCCACTCTCGCGCAGAAGCTGCCGAAGCTGCGTCTGCTTTTCGGGCTCCAACTCGTCAAAATCCACCTCCAGGCCGAGAAGCCGCTTTACCATTCTTCGGGCCTTGTGGAAGCTGTCCTGCAAGTAGTGGTCATTCTGGGTGAAGAGATCTGGAGATTGCTCTTGCTGAAGCAACTTTTCCGTTCCCCTCTTGCAGTCTGCAAATGCCTCAGACAGCGCGGCGAGGAGTGAGGCTTTAACAGTCTCGAACAGCTTCGAATACGGCATCGTTACCTCGGAAACCACGTTGCAGATTGCAGCCTCCAGCTTGTGGCTGGCGTCTGAAATGCATCTTTCGGCTGGGACCCGCCATTTCTCAATGGCTTTGCCAATCACCTCCTGGGCAGCAGCATACGACGCCGGGCCACCCGGCAACCTCAGCTCGCGACCTCTTTTGTCCTCGATCCGCTTCCTCAGATCTTCGAGGGTGGTGATGGCACTGCGGTCCAGTGGTGACTGCACGAACACTGCCACGGGCCACCGCGGATTCTCCTTCAGCAGCTCTGCCGGTCGCCAGCGATATGTTCTGTAAACGGTCACCGATTTACGAGCACCCGTCGCGCTGTCAACACTCTCAGTCGGCTCTGCCTCCCAGCCATCTTGCCACCCTGGTGCTGCACTCTTCTGGTTCAACCTGCAGCGCGGCTCCCCAGTGCTTCCCGGAAGCTTGCTCCAGAGAGGCCCGACGACCCGATCCCCCTCACAAAGTCGGAACGACCCCACATGGATGCCTTTGTCCAGAATCCGTCGATGGTTCATGTGTCGTGTGAGGGCTTGCCAATCCCTCCAACTCCTCAGCTCCACTTTTCTGGCGGTGTCTGTGAGGTCACTGTCATCCAAAGGTGTTTCGCACACATGGAAGACAGGCCGACAAGCGTAGCAGGCCTCACGCAGGTCCAGGTACCCTTTCTCCACACCTTTCCAGAGGCTCAACTCAGAGCGATCCTTGGCCTCCACCAAGCTGTCAAGGCGGATCTTGATACTGTCAACCAGGCGGTCGAGGTGAGTCATTGCCTGCTCTGGTTTCACAACACTTCCCATCGCTTGGAGCTCCTCACGCAAGGATTGTTGGGGCTTGGGAATACAGCGACTTCTCGACAGCTTCTTTTCCGGTGAGTAACCAACCAAGCATGTCTGGCAGGGGTCAGCCACCTCCTGCGACATCTGCTACCAGAACCTTCTGTTAAACAGGAAACATGGCAGGTACCTTATCAAACTTTAAACCCGAGAAGAGTTCTCACATGAACATGTCAGAACTGTCTCTTGTCTCCTGCTCTGCCTCTGCCAGCTGCTCAGAGAGTGCCGCTCGCAACCGGGGTAGCCTCGGTACCGCAGCATCTCACCGTAGCCTCTGAACAATGCCGATCACAGGCCTAGCACCTCATTACTGCAACCTGCTTAGCAGAGAGAGGGAATTTCATGATCTAGCTAGTCACGCAGGCAGCTGTGTTCAACTGAGCCCATAGCTGCTCCACGATGAGGCGGTGCAGCTGCTCGCCCAAGAACTCGCGAAGACTTTCGGTTCCGCACCGATCCAGCGCATCCTGCCACTTTCCGAAGAAGTCCGCCTCTTCTGCTCGGGCCTCCCTCGCTGTGATGCCGCGTTGTATCGCCGGCTGCGCCGGGTTCTTGACCGCGAAGTATCCATGCCGAAGCCGATAAGGGCCTTCCGGGTTGCGGAGCAGGCTCCGGCGCTGTGCCTCGAGTCCTTCCGGGATCTTGTCGGGCTTCGTGAGGATCCCAACAGTGCGAAGGCCATCGGGGTCGTACCGTTTTGCCAAGCTCCTGACTTCTTGATTCTCCAAGTCGTCATCAAAGGGACAGCACATGGCAATCAGCGTGTTCTCCCGCTTCAAGTACTCGCAGCACAAGTCTCGAATAAGCTCCACCAGCTCCTCTCCGCCTGATGCTATGAGACCTGGGAGGTCGATCAACTGCAAGTCCTTGAACCCCTTGCCCTTGATGTCCACCTGGACGACATCTGTTGTAAATGGCCTCCTGCCGTCCTCATCGTCCTCGTAGTTTTCTGGGTGCGCTGCGCAACGCAAGGACTCCAAGGTGAGGGGTCCCTGCTTGCCCTGCTTCGCTCGCTGCTTCTGAAGCTTTCTCTGATACTTCTCCAAGCCCGCGGAGTTCAGGAGGAGCTCCTGCGCCAGGCGCAGCATCTCAGCCACCTCGGACTTCTCCTGACTTTCTGCAAGCACCAGCCTCGGCATCCGCTTAAGAAGAGGGTCTTGGCCTACACGCCCTATCTACAACCTCAAAATGCAGCTGCCTCTGATTGCCGATGCCTCTTTTCACTGTGACTGTAGTGCTACAGTTTCTGCAGTTTCATCCTGTCAGCCTTGGCTGCTCTGCACAGCGCACGCTGACCGTACACTCGAAGTCGACAGCGGAGGAGGCCGTGTAGATCTCGAAGGCACACCTCGTGCAGGTGCCCGCTGCACGTGGCACCTCAATACCTGCGAGCAGGGTGATGTTTCAACAACATGTCAAGAGTGTCTGGGAAAAGCAGGCGGCCTTCAGGTGTATGTTTGCTATCGACTTTTCAGGGCAAACTAGGCTCGCTGTTCCTCTGCACATGGATCAACACAACAGGGGGCTCGCTGACAGGGGGGTTCAGCAATCGTCATTTATCCTGTACAGTACGTGATTGCCCGGTGCGACCCAGTGCTTGTTTGCTCCAACAGAATCCACAGCCTTCTTGGATTCGAGGCCAAAATCTCGCTGCATCGATCGTCATTAGCTACTGCATGGATCAATGCTGGATTAGTGCTGGGGACGCTCAACAATCGCAAGATGTCCCATCTCGCCAGGCCAGTTTGTGACTGACTCAGGCAGACTTCCCTGGCGGGGCCACACTACTTCGATCTGAACCAAGGCCAATCGAATCCGGAATCCGGAACACCTCCAGGAGTAAAGACAAAAGCAACTACTTTAAGGTTATAAGTACCTTACTTGTAGTTATACGTACTTATACTTATAACTATACTTACCTTATCTATAACCCCAGTGGCCTGTGAGGGCTTCCATCACCGACGATTTGCCGGAGCTCTGCTTGCCGATGACACAGATGCGAGGCAAATCGACATCCTGACATCTACTGTTGCCCAGGAGACTGCAACGAGCTTTGGCTTTCGGAGTTTCGGGGTCAAAAGGTTTTGGGGTTTGGGGATCCGGTGAGTGTAGCATCTCCACACCTCCTTTAGCCCCCCCTCAGCCGGATACCCCAAGCCCTGATCTAACCCAAGCGGCCGCATCCACGCCCAGGCCACGAAGCTGGCGAATGGTCTCCATGGCCTCAGGTTCTTGGATGTCAGCAGCCTCTGGTCCTGGTCCCTCTTGTTCCTCAACATGCGGAGGAGCCTACAAAGCCTCTGGACTTCCTACTCGGAGCTGCATAATTCTTTTTATAGTTGCATTGTGTTTCTGTGGTTGCTACAAGTACTGGCACAAGGACGGACAGTCGTCGTAGCAGCAATAGCAGCGGCAGTAGTCGCGGCCGCAGTAGCGGCAATACTAATGTTGATTGGAAGGCTGCTGCGGCTGCAACTACTACCACCACTGTCACTGCCACTGTCACTGGCAGCGACCGCCAACGCCCCTACCACTACCACTGCCACTACCGCTATCGCTACCACGGCTGCTGCTGCCGCTGAACTACCACTATCACCACCACTACCACT